TGAACTGTCTGGATTTGTTTGAATATAACAGCTGTTTCCTCAATTCAACTGGTGCATTAAAGCAACTCACTTTCCAGTTCTCCAAAATGTCTTTAAAGTCTTCTGCACAAAAGTCATGATTAGGCAAACAGGTACCACTGTTCAACGTTGCCTCACAGGAGTCTTAGCTGTATTGCAGTTGAATCTGGCTGGTGTTCTGGATGAAATTTTGCCTGACTATGGCTTTCTGTTTTCCCTGGTCAGCCCTGACACATAAAGTCAATATTTCTTCACTACACTGAAATATATTATTGTAGGATCCAGTCGACCTGTACTTCTTTACTTATTTTGTGACAATTTAAGTTACTTATCTTTCTAATTAATATTTCAGTCCATCAGAATTCCTTTCCCCACTATGATAATGTAAACAATTCTGTATTCAAATTGCAATTTAAAGATGCAGAATCTGTCTATATTAGACGTCAAGGGCCATATATGTTTTATATAGCCCTCGACCTGTTATGTGCTGTTTATTAACAGTGAGCTCAGTAAATAGTTCTCAGGTCGCTGCTTTGCCCTCATTCAGACACCTGAAATGTGAAAGAAGTATCATCCTATGTAGGTGCCAACAGCATCATCTAGATCTGATTCATCTGTGTTGTGTCTACATAAATTCAGACTAACATTCTTGAAATTCAGACTTATACTAAAGTAATTTGGTAGTAGGTGTCCCTTCATCCTTAACTTTGTGTACCATTCATACTGTGTATTTATAAGAAGCTGAGGTGTAAGAATCATTAAGAATCACTTAATATACAGTATGCCTGCCAAAAGCAGGTCTTGAGAAGAATAATGTACATTCTAGATCTATGTGTCTATAACTCCCTTTTCTCTTTTGAGCATATAGGAAAACTAATCTTCTATTTTATACACCTGAACCAGGTGCCTCTATGTAGGTACCAGCAACCCTGTAGAGCAAACTAAACCACTTTGTCCTTCGTGAATACACAGCTTAGTAAAGACTGCTGAGAACTCCTCAGAGAGACTTAATTATTCTCTTGACAAGTGTGACATCCCAGCTCAAAGCAGCTCTGTACATCCAGGTCTTCCTTTCCTTCTGGCAGCTGTCCTGAATGAAGAAGTTTAGATCAAATGCAGCATTGTATATTGAACAGAAACCTAGAATTGTTTGGGTTGGAAGGGACCTAAAAGACTAGCTAGTTCCAACACCCTGCCATGGGCAGGGACATCTTCCATTAGACTACATTGCTCAAGGCCCCATCCAACCCAGCCTTGGACACTTCCAGGAATGGAGCATCCACAGCTTATCTGGGTAACTTGTTTCAGAAGCAGAGCATTAAGATCCTTTAAATGAATATGGTTTGTGGGGTATAGTGTGAAGTGCCATTTCTAAGCCAAAAAGTCCTATTACTCTTCCAAGTCTTGTGAGCTACTTGAAATCCATGGGATTTTATCATTGGCTTCAATGGCTGGATTTTTACTCTAACACTTGTGAGTCAGGATACTGCAAGGAATGATTGTTATAATTGTAAATAGGTGGGAGGAGCCTAGATGAAGGTGTATTTGACCAGCCACTGTTTTTTTCAATCTTAATGATCTAGGCAAAGATTTGGTTTAGTCTATATTACTCATGCTCATCTTCTGTACCCTGAATCATACCTGCTAGAAACGGGCTTAAAAATGTGTCCTAGATGGAACACTCAGATCTGGGCATATGGCAACTACCAAAACAGCTGAGGATAGGATGATACATTGGCACATACTTATAAATACATATAGGTAAACATGAACTGCCTTTGGACAAATGATGGACATGGCAAGCTGCTCTTCTGTCCAGATCCAAGAAGATCAAAGGATACAAAAATCAACTTAATATACAATCTTTTTCCCAGTTCCACCCAGAAGAAAATGTAAAAAAACCCATGACTTGGCTGTTAGAACTGCAAACTGCAAATGCATTTGAAAAGTCTGAGATAGTTTATGTGAAATATTACTTATCTCAAGGGACCTTCTGCATCCTCGTTTATTATAGGAGATATATCCTGTAGATGTTATACAAAAAGGAAAATTGAGTCCATTCAGGTTTCTGCCACCTATGAAGTAAATAACTTCATGTTTTTATCATAATTTGGTATGAGACACCTAACTGAGTTATGAATTAAGGTCTCATAGCTCTGCTATAGCCACATCTTTGGTCTGTGTGTCCCTGAGACTCCATTTTTTTCTGATTAGATTTCATCTTTTGGCAATATACGCCTTAGAAAATGCCCATTTGTCAGTCTAGGACTTTCAAGGCTTCTGATTTTGACAGAATTTACTCAGAGACCAGCTAAAACTGTGTGCCAGAAGGACAGGATAGTGGAGGAGTTCATCTGACGGGGTTGGTATTTACAAGCTCTTTCTCTGTGTATTCAGTACAGGTTCCTATATGCAGATACCCTACCTTCTGCACAGAGTTTCTCCAGAACAGCATGTATACTGCTCATTAATTTTTTTCTCCAGTGGTTTGCAATGGACATACGTTTCAATATACTTTGGCAACCCTTCCCTGACATATCTCTGCTTTTGCTGTTGATGCCCCAAAGCTTAGTGCTACCACCCCATTCCTATCAGAGTCTTGTCTAAACAATTCAGTGCTGAGAGTGTTTTGATAGGTGAATTTTTAGATCTACTTACATGGACCAGACATCCACCTTTGGACCATATTTCCCATGAGCAAGCAGTTCTGGTGCAGCATAAGCTGGGCTTCCACACTGGGTATGTAACAGCTCCTGGGAGAGACCCTCGAACCTTGTGGTATTGCTCAGTCCAAAATCTGATGGTCACAAAATCAAAGGCAAATATGTTTTAGTCTCTTCTGAAATAGCTTTAACTTTACCAATTGTCTGACGAATGGAGAAAGACAAAACCAGCAGCTAGCTGCAGCATCTATTGATGTCTCAGTTATGGATGCCAGTTTGGGTTTGAATAAATGTGCCATGAATTAGCAGAGGAATTACAGTGAAGTTACCCAGCCACGGGTCTGGTTTGATTGATTTTTGTTCAGCTATTTTCGTTTGCCTCGATTGGCTGCATGCTGGTACAAGAGCTTAGCTACACAGCCACTTTAGCATGGCTTAATGAGCCACGGCATTCGTCTCAGCTGGGTGTGCTTTATCCCATGGTAAACGTGGGGTAAAATATGCTAACTTAAGCCTTTTTCTCTTTATATGTTCATGTGTGCAAGGGGGAGGGAAGAGAAAGGTGTGATTGTAAAGGACTGGCTGGCTATAAAACAGGGGTGAAGAGTTGGTGCCTTTTTTCTCAGAGGTGTTAAGCTTTTAAAAGTTTGGGAAACACTGGGTTAAACATGTGGCTTCTCTAAGAGTTAACATCCCTTGCGGGGATTTTTCTGTGTGGTTTCCATAGAATAAAATTAATGTTTCTCTGAGCTGTGTTAACTGCTTGGTGCAAATTCTCTCATTTTTATAAATGTTTGCTTCACAACCCTAGCAAGATTTCTGTTAGTGACCAAAACAGTTCTCTTTTTTTTTTTTTAAACACATACCAAATGATGAGGTTTCTAGTTGAAGTAATGACTCAACAGAAACTAATGTGTCCCTACCTGCGTTTCACCCCAGAAGATTTATTTCTTTGTCTACAAATCACTTCTGCTAGGAACAGCTTTCTACACATAAAAGCTGTAATTGTTTCTTGCTTCTCCAGCAATACACAAGGGAAAACATTAGGCAGACTTGTTTTCCTTGTTCTCTCAAAAATATGTTTTAGTTAAAGCTCAAATAAACAAGCTGTTAAGATATACTTCATAACTTCTATTTATTCTAAAAGCTCAAATATGTTTATTGAATAATCACAAGCTCACTTGTAAAATGTGCTGTTTGAGTAGTAGCTGAACTGTCACTGAAAGCCACAGACACAAAAGAAACAGAAAACAAGTTTCACTGATAGTGTGCGCCTACCAACGATTTTGATGTTGTTGTTCTCATCAAGCAGAAAATTTTCAATTTTCAGGTCCCTGAAATGAAGACAGAAAGCAAACTTTCAGATGCTTGATGTCCCAGCTAACCATTTGCAGATAGTTTTTAGCAAAGTTTAATTGAAATAGTAACAATAGTTCTGCACAGCTCTGCCTACAATTGTAACAAGATCCTTATTCCTTCCTGAAGTTTCCAGTTGGGAAAATGGAAACTTTCTGTATTTCAGGGAGTATTTTATGAGTATACATCTTAAATAGACCATTAATTTTAGGAATCATCTGTTCTATTGATACATATACATATATATATATATATATATTTGAAATTAACTGCATTTATTTCTTCTTTTGAGTAAAAAGGAAAGTTGCACATATTGGACCAGAGTTTTTTTGTCTTTGTTTGAAGCACTGAGCACTGCTGAGTATTTCTGCTTTTTTTTGTGAGTAAATTGTGCCTGAGAGATATGAAGGATGAGAAGGGAACTGGAAAGTGAGGTTGTACCAAAGCTGGGTTGGAGCTGCAAAGTGGAGACACCTCTGCAGTGATGTTTATGTAAACAGCATCAAACAGTATCATCTGCCCCACCAGGAGGATGTAAGAGTTGAAAAAAAAATGCTGTTAGCTGTCTCACATACTTACTTGCTTATTGTTGGAACATTTATATATTTACAAGTTAAAAGCAAAAACCAGAATATTGCTCCACTGTGCGGAGTGCCTGAAGTGGCAGCTGAAAATTTTTGCACCATGGAGGAATCCTCAGCCAGTGTAATTTGGGTGTTGGGAGCCAGTCCAAGAAAGAGCCTGCGATGCTTTGCTGACTCCTGTCACAGCCTCCCACATGCTGCTGGGAACCTCCCTCATCTCTGGAGAGGGTATGTGGGGCAGAACAAGTTTCAGCAGCAGCTCCAGGGACGTGGATTTCCCTCCTGCCTGCTCTGAAGTTTTGAAGCTATTTTTTTCAGCCCAAAGACGTCAGAGAGCACAAGAGGACAAATCAGAAGAAGGGATGAGAGCAAGGAGCAAGGACTGGGTGGATTGGTGCATGAACAGCACCGTACTGCTGCAGGGGATGAGGTCTGGAGGTGTACCTGGTGGTCTTGAGTGTTTTTACGGTAGCATCCATTTATCTCCGTGGCTCTGGATGGGACAGCATTTCACTCAAAACCCTCTGCTGCCCCAGGCTGAGAATGGAATGGGGATGGTTTAGTCTTACCCTTTTAATAGCATGTTTTCTGGAATGGTAAATAAGCCACTGCCCAAAATCTGGGAGGTAGATTTAAGATAACTTTGTTCATAGCCTATTCGTGTCATAACCCTGTGCACTAATACTCCAGTGGTTTAAAACTAGTTGTATTACAGGCCACTGTAAATCTGACATTTCTATCAGATTTAGCACCCCACAGTGCAGTTGTGTTGAATTGGGTTGCTACAGCTGTTGTTCTCTAGGCTGAGCCAAGTGCTCACAGAGTTAAAAATGTATGCTTTCTTGCCTGAAGAACCTGCTAATGGCCACTATGAAAGTTTGTGTAGTGTCAGAAGTTATCTTGCATCAAAGGTACATCTTGTTGTTTTTTTTTTGTTCCAAAGGAAACTCTCCAAGAAATATCATAAATGTAAGCAACACCATGATTTTTTTCCTCATTCCCATGGGGACTTCAGAGAGGGAGCCTAGAGGGCAGCTTGTGATGTTTCTCCAGGTCTTTGGTCCAATAGGGATTCAAAGGGATATATGACGTTTTTATATGGGAGAAGGGAAAATATCCAGGAAAATCAGCCAGGAAAAATTAGGAACTGTACATACAAGCAAGTCACTGTCACCTACCAAGTGCCAGCTGTAGGAGTTGGTAGCTGACTGCATGCACGTGTTAGCCTGATCCAGTGGCAAGGCAACATGATTTAGTTTACACGTCTTTATTTGTGGTTTTTAAGCTCAGATGCATTACCTCACTGCTTGGCTGTGTCCAGAGCAGGCATAGGGATAGTTAGCAGAACTCGGTTGATGAGTGTTAGCTTGTGGAGCTGTTAAACCTGATCTTGTGCCTGAGCCTTCTTATATCTGGCACAGTAAAATGCTGTGTGCTGGGAGAACAGGCAAGTGAGTCAATGCTTCATATTCTGGGTCATTTTGGCAACTGTGGCACAAAATCTACCGTGAGCTTACGTGGCCAAGAAAGGTTAGTATCTTTATTGTGAAATGTAGACTCAAACTTAATTTAAGCTGTAAGGATTTGTTGGATCCGTGCTGATTTTAGTGATGATTTAGAAAGTAAATCTCAAGAAACAAAATAGGTGTCTGAACATAATGTAGAATTTCAGTTGAGAAAAATCATTTTGGACTAAAAATAGTTACAAAACTGGACAGTTTTTCATCAAGTATATTACTAAGACAGTAGAAAATACTAGGTTTTTTTTCTGAGCTATAGCCAGAATGCCTATAAGACACTTTTGGGCAAATGTAAATTAAATTAGCGAATTCCTAAGTGATGACCTTAGGAATGAGATCTTGCAATCACCAGGCACCCCTATTCTAGTAAAATAAAGGGGGCCCAGGCATAGACCCAAGCATTGGCACACAATTGTCCATCTCATGAACTCATACCTGATGTGATTTTACCAGGCTCCTCCTCATGGATTAACAGCTGTTCCCAACAGGCAGTTTGGGAACCCTTGTTTCCTTGCTCAGTGCTTAGATGGGAAAATCAGATTGATTTTGTGAGGTAACTTTTCTATTTCTGTGCTCATCTGTCTGGAAACATTGATGCCTTCTTTTCAGACGAGGGTACACCCACAATTATCCTCCTTGATTTAACCTCTGTAGCAAGTTGCTATAAATCACTGCAGCTGGAGCTGAGCAGGGAAGCCCTTGCAGATCCTTCCCAGTCTGCTTCTGGAATGAGGTCAAGGCCACAGCTCCGACTCTCAAAGCTAGCAGCAGGTCACGAGTTGAGGTACTCCTGATTTAACCTACACCTGTGACTTAGCAAGGTGGCTGGGCTCCTTTGAGACCAGGCAACTTCATATACCCTATCACAAAGTGCTTGAGAGCCAGGGATGACTTTTCCTTTGGTTAGGGCAGTTTGATAGTAAATCAAGTCACCAGAGGAGCTCATGCCACTTTGTACCTGGCTACTCTCAGGGTGTGCAGCAAAATTACCTCTCACAAAATTTTCCCAGCAAAACATGACCGACAGAAGAAGGGAGAAGTAGGACAGGAAGGCAGGCTACTCTCCTGCTCACCGTGAAGAGTTGTTTCCAAACGAAAACAAGGGAAGAGGGTTTGAGAAATTAATGAAGAATGTTGTCATGGGAAGAACGTAAATGTTATGATCATGAGCACTGAAAAAATGCTATAAAGTAGATTAGTTAAGGAACTAGCAAGGCAAGAATGTCAGCCTGGACTAAATGGGTGAAGCCCCTTGGGTTTATTGTCTGGTGGAGGTTTTTTTTGTTTGTCTAAATTCTCTAGTTTAGATATGGATGATTTCTTTCTAGTCCATTCCTTATTAATTAACAAATCCAGTCTAATGAAGTGCTGGATTGCAAGCATTTCAAGTCACAAAGCACTTGTAAATGCTGAGTCTTTGCATTCACAGTTTATTTGTTTCATGGTTGCTGTAACAATGCAACTGGATTACTTGTTAGATCCCGGGGACTTTCTTGATGAGTGTGTGTACCCTTTAAAATTAAGGATCTGATTGACTGTGAATCATTAAGCAAAACAGAAAAATGGTGGGAAAAACTGCTTCTTTCCTACTCTCCCACCTAAAACGGGAGTATTATTCTGCAGCTCTTGTTATATGTGCCAAGATCCCTAGTAGAAGGGAAGATCATCTCTCCTTGTATGGTCTGCTGAGGTTCCTCTAGTAGTGCCTGAAGTCATGTTCTGTCCTTGTAATGCAAAAGCCAACATGGAAAGTCAGCAACCTGTCATGGACCTGGACCTGCAGGACATGTTCTCTTCTCATGCAGTGAACTGTGATCCCTCAATTTTCCATCCTAAGTGATGTATGGTTCTTTCAAAATGTTGTGGCTAACCAAAGAAAATCAATCTTTATATGCATAGCCACACTGAAATACTTGAATTAGACACACGTTCGTCACCAGCTAAGTCTGAGATAATTGTGCCAAAGTATTGATGTGTTGTGCTAATCAGCTCTTACCCCTGGCCTTTCTTACTTTACTCCCCAAGGAGTGCACAACGGCTTGTAACAGTAGGAACCACTACTGAGATTAAAATGCTTTATTAATATGAGCAGAGCGAACATAAGTCTTCTTTGCAAACCCTGTTCTTATGAGGGAAAAATAAAGAAATGCTTTTGGTGAAGATGAGTATTCTATATTATTACATACTTTCTTTTCTTACTGTTTGGAAGGGGAGAACCATCTTACCTGTGAACAATCCCTTGGCAATGCAGGTGCTCTACTGCAGACAGAATTTGCCTGGTGTATCTCCTTACTTCCCTTTCCGCCAGTCTCTTTTTGTCACAAATTCTGTCCAGGAGGTCCCCACCGAGGCACAGCTCCATCACCATGTAATAGGAGTTGTCAGTCTCCAAGGTCTCATATAGCCGAACAACATTGGGGTGCTTAATCATCTGGTGTATCCGTGGCTCACGCTTCATGTTTTTTAAAACATAGGAATCCTGCTTGGCTTTCCTCTTGTCAATGACTTTTATGGCTACCTGAATGGCAGAATATCTGCAAATTGGCAACAAGCTTTGCAACCAAGATTAGTTTTCAAAAGGATATGGAGTAAGCTGACATGTGGGAGAGGCTGTTTTTGACATGGTGTTGACAATCAGTATCACAGAGAGAGAGACATTCCCAATGGAAGAATACACTCTTTATTTCTTTTGAAGGCCAAAACAGGAAGTTTGAACTCTGTCATATCTACCCCTCTCATTGCATTAATAAATATGCATGTATGAAATATTCTGAAATGCAAACACAATCCCTACATGCTTGAGTAGTTACTGCATCTGTAATGTACCACATCTATTTTCTAACTTGTTCCCTTCTGGCTTGGTCTAAAAGCCACTCAAGATATTGACTATAATGGGCTGGGATTAGACTGCAGTTTGGGGAGCTAGTCAGACAGTGAAGCTGCTGAAGCCACAAGAAAAGTACAATTTCAAAAACCACTTGATAGTAATCCACCTTCCCACAGTTGTGTCTAGTGGCATATTATTTTAGCCTGACTGAGCTAGAGGTAACAGATGTTATCTGTGTCCTGCCATGTAAATGATTGCTGTTGGAGGGGCTGGCTTTTCTCTAAGTGCTGTTTATAGCCTTAAAGGTTAGATACGCAACACTAATAACTCAATCAGGATTATCAGGGAAAACATATTTGAAATTGTCTTTATGCCATCATCTTGCATTCTTTCAGAGGGAGGATATCTTTGTTTTCTGTACTGTTTTATAATTGTGAAAATAGTTGCAGTCAATGCATATTCACACATGTGACTGATTATGCATGAGCAATAAACTCAATTTATGAGGTTAATTTATGAGGATAAGGTTCAGAGGAAAATTCACTGAATAGATTGTGGTTTGCAGATTAAATGGTCTGAAATTTTCTGACATAAATTAGTGTGAGGTTACTTGCAATTCCTAGTGAGTCTTACCCTCTCATTAAGGAGCTTACCTTCTCCCCTGTGGGGATGTGCAGTCCCTCCATCACCTTGGCAAAGGAGCCCTTGTTGATCATTTTGCCTACTAGGTAATTCCCAACTTGTTTGGAGTGAGGGAAAGTCCTCCAAGTTTCTTGGGGCATCTTGTTAAAACAAGCAGGTATTTTTATATCCTTGAAGTTTTTCTCCCATTCTGGTAATATTCCATCCAAGTTGCCAGTATCTGTCATTTTGTCATCCAAGCCTGCTTTCATTGCTGTGGGCGTCCCTGGAGAGTCAGATTTGTATTGCTGCTTTCCAGATGTAGCTTCTGATTCACAGCAGATGTAGGCATTAGGTCTGTACATCTTGTGGTGCAAGTGCCATCCTGCTGATCACAGAGCAACTAATCCTTTCCCCTCGAGACTCCACGTTTGTCACTGATCTCTAGCCTGGGCACATAGATCTGCTCAAGCAGAACCAAGTGGTAGATTATTAGCCTAACCTGATATGCAATGTCAGTTAATGCCCCAGACCTGCCAAGTCAAATGACACATAATCCCAGCATCTGCCTGGAATATAAACATCCTGCTGATCACAGAGCAACTAATCCTTTCCCCTCGAGACTCCACGTTTGTCACTGATCTCTAGCCTGGGCACATAGATCTGCTCAAGCAGAACCAAGTGGTAGATTATTAGCCTAACCTGATATGCAATGTCAGTTAATGCCCCAGACCTGCCAAGTCAAATGACACATAATCCCAGCATCTGCCTGGAATATAAAGCTCTTTCTGCAACAGT